CTTTTCTTCGGAACGACATCCGTAAAGAAAATTGGTGGTAATAATTAATATAACAAGGCAATAAGACACACCAAATAAAACAATAGACTCAATTGTTTAGAGAAATGAAGTGACAATCTACAGAGAATAGATAAATATTTTTTTGTTAGACCTCAAAAAAAAAAGAAGAATATCAGTAAATAGACAACATATATAAAAAAAAATTATCATTTTGCCCTATATTTACAAAGAATGTGAGACATATTCTCTTATCTATCAAATTTTTTTGTATGTAATTCTAGAATAAATGTACAACTAAAATGTTGAACTTATTTCATCACAATCTGTAAACACTATCGTCTCTTATGCAAGAAATCAATTATTGGAAAACATCTAAAAACAATAAATTACCTAACGAAATAAAAGAATGTCACATTAAATGTGTCTAAATATAAGTAATTTAAATTGATTATCTATATATAATAGTTTTCGTGTTTCTAAATCTCGCATGTATTAGTTATTTTTCATCAAATTTATTAATATTAATGATATAATTTAAAATTTAGCTACGCCTTTGATATTATTTAAATTATGATACTGTTTAAAATGGTATAATGTTGATAGTACCGAAAGCGTAGGCAGTAAAAATTTGATTAACATAACTGTAGGTATTTATTTTGAATATTAAAATATATCGTTAAGTGTGTGGAAATTTACTGAAACTACAATAGAACTCTAAAATAACAGTTTTTTTTTATAAAAAAAAGAAACAAAATCACTAGAAGTTTATGCATGACAATGTCAATTATTCTACCATAAAATAATTCTTAAATATTCATAATATTTAACTACATGTCATTTATTCATATCGAAATTACACTTTAGAATTTATCGACATGAAATAGCAAAATAAAAAAAACGAAGAACGGAAGAATACTTTTACACATCATCATTATAGTCTGATATATATTTGACTACTTTTGCTTTCTTTCTTTTATTGAAAAATATATACTTATATATTGATCTTAGATTATTCATCTAATATTTCAAATAATAAATATGAAAAGAATATAAAATGTATCGTACTCTAGCCAGCAAAACAAATCGTTATACTTAGGTTTTTCGTTCACATTTCTCTCTATTATTTTCGTTCAATGATATCTCTATATCATTGATATATTTTTGATTATTTAATTGGCTATGAATGGCAAAAATTTCCATTTTTTTTAAAAATGTTTTCATTGAATATTGTCAATGTTTGATGAAAAAATTCGCTTCTGTAATTTTTTTTCTGAAGACCTTATGGAGGAATCTATGCAAAAGGTTTCGAATAATGCAAATAAAAATAGAAAAAACCTAATTTATGCATTACAGGTTGACGTTATTAAAAAAAAATGAAGCAAAATAAAAGCAAATTCTGATTACACTACTCGGAAGTACATTAAACACATAATTGTCGGAATCGATTCGTGGGCGTACTGTTTATTTTAGCCAAGACATATGTAGAAATTTTCTTTTTGGTAAAATCGTAATGATTAAAAATAAAACAATCTATCATACTGAATGATCTGCACACTTAAATGAAAAAACCGTATCAATGTAGTACTATTAAAGAGTAATTGATACCATATATAAAGGGAGTTTCCCTCTGACGCATAAAAAAAATTTCCCATTGAAATATGACGAATCATTCATTGATTTCTTTTTTTTTTCTTTCTAATCGATAAAGTTCGAGAGAATTAAATATCATTTTTTGTGTAATAAACATTTACTGTAGATACCTATTATAATTGAAACACAAAAGAACACAATGAAATTTAATCTAACAGATATTTAAAGATAACTCTTGAAGAACTATTTTTTGCTCTTGATACTTCCAAAAATAAATATGAATATTTACTGCCTGTTATTACACATTTTGTGACTTCACTTATTTTAATAAATTGAAATATACGATTAGATGAAAAAAAAAACCAAATTTAATTTTCATCGATTGATGTTTATTATGAAATTTTTAAAAAAATACATGCTTATCTTTACCAAGAGTTTTCAAATTTTATTAATAATAATGTGTGTTTTTGCAAAAGCTTTTAAACAAGACAGTTAATTATTATCAAATCTTTCTGTTTCGACAACACAATACTCTAGCATGATCTAACACTGGCTAGAATATGTAGAACATCAAAATCACATATTACTATTATATTGAAATGTAATATAATAAAATTTACTATTTAATGTTTCAACTTATGAAATACTAATAATTTTGACTTTAAATAGCATGTATGAAGATATAAAATGCCTGCTTATTAGCGTATGTAGATCTTTTAAGCTGCAATATTCGAGACATATCTTTAAAGAAAAGAAAATCTGTTGAATATTTATAGAATTTTTTGTTATTTATTAAGATAATCTGTAATAAAAGGAATATTAAGGATAACGTCATCATATCTTACATGTTAAAGTGATCATGATTAAACTTATCCTATGTCAAACAATCATACATTAGACAGATATCAATGTACAACAGAACAGACAAGTTTGAATTTTGCTTTTATTCCAGAATTAATTCATGTAGAATTCAATATCAACTACCACTATATATTTAAATATGTCTTCTGATAATTTCGATTATTTTATGCTAAACAACATATGGACTTTCGGCTATGCACTAAAACAATATTTACAAATGTATCCATCATAGCTGAAAGTTTTTTTTTTCGTATCTTATTTCAAATAAAGCATATACTTCATATGAATAAAGCAGACATAAGTATTTACCTAAGAATCAAATTAAAATCACATATATATTTTCTCAAGTTTCGATAGAGCATACCAAATAAAACAAGTTAAAAGTAAAATACGTCCAATAAAATTTCAAATCTGTATCACTCGTTAAATCGTTTCCAGTAATACAAAAAATGTTATCTTATTATTTTTGTATTTTTCTGATAAAAATATTTGTTCTTTTTTATTTTTGCGTCAACAATTTCAAGTATATTCTAATGAATATGAACTTAAAATAAAACATTTGTGTTATTTTGTTTCTACTGATTTAAATCTATCTGTATTGTTTGACATTATTGCTTTGCATAGTATTTGTTTTGAAAAATGAACGAATAAGCTTTGCTAAACGTGGTACTTTCTTATGAATCGTTTCACTGTGTTTTGATGAATGAAAATATTATTGAAAAATGATTTCAACAATTGACAATATAGATTCTTAGATGCATATTCTCCATTACATATATAAAGATTTACCGTGAAATGAAATTATTAGAAATATTTGTAATTTATAACTTTTAACTTGTAACGAAACAACTACCCGCTCTGATACTCACCGTTTGGGTTCATATTACATCTTGATGAAATTATCAAAAGTCTAAAAGGATTCGTGTCCTTTGGTGTGGGTATGAGGTGTGAGTGTGGGTAAGATCTTCTAAAGGGTGATCCAAAAGTCTTGGTACCTCGCAGAAAAAATCCCTTTTCTCCCTTATAACAAATGAAGAAAAGCTCAAAATTGGACTGATAGTCAATCATTACCAGATGAGTATTACCCTAAACTTTCACAACTATAACTCAAGTTATAGTGAAGATATATAACTTTGAACTTATAGAAACATTTTTTTCGCATGACGAAATCAAGTAACGGATGCCCATGATGACTTCTTCCACCCCTCGTATATTGTATCTTTCTTTTTCAATTTCTATTATCTTTCTTGAAAACACAAAATATACCAGAAGATGCAGCTTGAAGAACTCTACAACCTACAATGCAAAGCTTATTTTATATATGGTCCTTTATTGTTCAAAATGGATGAAAATGATGAAAAGAATAAATAAAAAAAAAAGAATTCATCGTGTATAAAAAATTACTTTTTCGCAACATCTGAATTCGCTCACTTAGAAATGTGTACTAAAGGACCATATATAAAATAAGCTTTGCATTGTAGGTTGTAGAGCTTTTGAAGCTGCATCTTCTGGTATATTTTGTGTTTTCAAGAAAGATAATAGAAATTGAAAAAAAAGATACAATATATACGGGAGTCATCATGGGCATCCGTTACTTGATTTCGTCATGCGAAAAAAATGTTTCTATTAGTTCAAAGTTATATATCTTCACTATAACTTGAGTTATAGTTGTGAAAATTTAGGGTAATACTCATCTGGTAATGATTGACTATCAGTCCAATTTTGAGCTTTTCTTTATTTGTTATAAGGGAGAAAAGGGATTTTTTTCTGCGAGGTACCAAGACTTTTGGGTCATCCTTTATTTGTCCACACGAACCCCGACACCCACACCCACACCCATACGCACATCCACACCCACACCGACCCTCCGGTTTCTAGACATTAATGATAATCCTGCACATAATATTGATTATTTGTCTTGTTAGTTTATGTACGACTTTCGATTTGTTTATTTGTGCAACAAAGCTTTTCATTTTTCGAAAGTCTTCATAACACAATAGAGCCTTACAAAGTTTCAATATGAAATCAAACAGATAAACAACAGCCATTTGTTTGTTGTGCGAAAAAACTTGTTGTATTTTGAGGTTCAATGGTTGCTGGTAAACACAAAACATAAACATCAAATTTAATAATGATTGTCTCATCATAAAATCATGATTATGTGATAAGTGCTGTATTATATTTGGAACAATGAAAATTGTTCATTAAAAAAAAACTTTCAAATCTGTAACTTTCAAAGAAATCTTTTCTGTAAGTATATTTCTGCAATAAAATAACTGCTTCTTGATTATTTATAAGACAGTGTGACTGATCAAATATTGCATTCCTCTTTACCAGAGTTGGAAAATTCCCACTAAGCAAAATGCCTCATGTTCTTTTCTTTGCTTCTCAATCGAATCCGATACGTTATAGGACAAAGAGAAAATATGTTGAATACATATATCAATTATATTTTTGATTGATACAACACTTACGACTGTCACAAAAAAGGATGTGAAGTGTTACTCACATATGAGACGAAAAATGGTGCTTTTCAATAAGTTCTCTGTCTATCCGCAAGTGCTCGTAGATGCTTGGGTCGCTGCAAGCACGTTGAGATTGTTCTGTTGTTGATCTCGTTTGGCTTTTTCTTGAGCAATTAAAACTTGCTGTACATGATTTGGTAGACCAGGATTGAGTGTTAACATGTACGGCAATATCATTTTTGGAGTCTCATTAAGATCAACAATAATTTTGATAAAAAGTATATCATCACGTACGTAAGGATTGTCATCTTGTTGAATCATTGGGAGTGGAAAAAATTTTGGAATGCCACTAGCGATATTGGCATCGTTTACTGGACGTTGAAAAGAACTAGATTTAACATCAGGACGAAAGGAATCGATAATATGTCGGTTGTTGCCTGTTTGATCAAATAAGCAAAATGTTACTTTGTAAGAAAAGGGCCATGGTAGCAGAGCATCATATTCTCCTTTCATAAGTAAGAAGAACAATGACATATGAGTTCTTCTAGCATTACCATCACCATGTAGATATAAACGTGCGCGCATTTTATAACCAGTTAGTGACGAATAAAATATTGGCGAATAAATACTCGGTTGTCGTTCTGATTGAGCATCAGCCATTCGTTCTGCTACACGATCAACACACCATGTTAATGTAGCATCAGTTGATACATGTTGATTTTCTTCAAGAGTTTGCTTCAATCGCTCGATGTCTTTCTGTATAGAGTCTTGTTTGGGTTGTAAACTAGACATCGTAATATTTCTTCCATTAGCTGCTATTTGAAAATGATTAACTTCTTGAATAGCTACTTGACAAAGTTCATTTAATTTAACAAAATCACGACTTAATTGAACTGTATCGTCATTCAACTTTTGAACTTTTTCAGCTAAATCAGATAATTTCTCTGAAGTTTGTTGTTCAAGTTCACTATTATTATTTGAAGTCAGCTCCATTGATTGATCTTGATCCGATGTTTCTGCAATTTCACATTTACCAGTTAAAATTAAAGCAACTGTTTCCTGATGCTTTTCACTCAATAAATGGTTTGAAAATTCGTCTTTTCGAATCTTGAATTAAAAATACAACAGTTATATTGAATTCGATTAAAAAAAAATTTCTTTTCTACCATTTCTTGACAACAATGTGGTGCTAAAGGACATGCTTGAAAAAGAGCTGAACATGTTTTTGCTCTATGATCTTCTAATGCTTTACTCGATGGAAATTGTTCTTTGCAATCATCGCAAGTATAATGAATGTGATTACGATCTAGATGTTCCTATTCAAATATAGAATAATATACTATATAGTTTGAAATAAAAAAATTATTAAAATTCACACTTGATACGTTTTCAATGGTCCTGTCCACGTGCAGTTCTCATCCACTTTATGAAAACAAGTAATCGGGATCGAGTCCAGCTCTCTCTTGAATGCACGATCTAGCATTACCTTTAATAATAAAATATATACAACTTATCTTAACGGCATTTCATAAGTAGGTAAATAGGCCTTACTTGCTCTCTTTGGAATGGAAATTTGCATTCTTCCATAGGGCAAACCATCTTACCATCAATAGCTACTGCTGCACGCAATTCAAAGCATCCTCTACATCCTCTGTGCCCACATTCTGTCAATTGAATAGGTTCTTTGATGACTAATAGACAAAATATACATTTCCATTTGTTGTTTGTTTTGTCAATATTAAATACAGGGTATCCACATTGTACAGGTGCTGATGTAGACGAAGGAGAATTTGAAAAATTGGTTTGCTGTGATAGCTGTCTATTTGCCATTGTTATGAATGTTTACCGATAATGAAAGTCAATCTAAAAATTGAACAAGCGTTTTTATACAGACATATTGTCTACCTACGTAAAATATGATTCATATACCGAAAAATGAAAAATTGTTAATCATATATTAATAGAGCTTCGTGCACTATGAATTTTCTAGAATGGCTTTTATCGCAAATTTCATCATACGATAAAGTAATATGAAAATATCCAAGCTATACAGATAGGAAAAAAGAAATAGAAAGAAAAATATGAGATACAATGCTCACAGTGCGAAAAAATTTGATGTGGTTCGTACTTTTTGCTTTTACAAAACTAAAAATACACATGCTAAAGTTTAAAATGTAACTTTAATATTCTGTTGTAATATTTACTTATTAATCTGAGTTCAATTTTGGTTTTGAATCACTTTATGTGTTATCATATCAGAAAACATAGATACAATTTTTATGAAAGCATCAATTTAAAAATATACTTATTCGTAATGGTATTATAGTAATATGTATTTTTATGATCTTTTTATATCAACTCAGAATATTTTTAAAGATGAATCAAATAAAAGATTTGTTCTTAGTTTATGACGATATCGCCATAAGACTTGAACATATTTTCTTGGAGTTTATGATCTTTAATCTCATGAATCATTTGATGCAAAAATATCAGAATTGTTAAAATTCAATAGTCGCAATTTTTTTCTCAGAGTGCATTTTGTTTAATATAAGTGCACAATAAATTACTTACTTCTCTGATTCTCGTGACGCTTCATCTTTTTGAGAATTAAAAAAAACGTACGGGGAAGTCAAAAAACCTTAGACATTAACCTTTTTAAGTTACTTACTGAAGAAAACCAAGCACGATAGGACCTTTCGCGATTTATGACATACGACAAGAGTGTATCATTTTGTCGGCATTTTCCAACAAACAATCATAGAAGTTTTATCAGAGAATTAAATGACTCATATTCAGCTCGTAGAATGTGCTGTCGTTTATGCACTTGATTTATGGCTTCGTCGTAATAGATCTTATATAATCATTTAGATATGAAAATTATCTAAATTTATTTTACTATCCAACGAGATTTTTCCTGGTAAAGGAAAGTTTCTGTACGTATGTTTCAGATTGAATATATTTTACTAGTGCTGCTATCTGTAGTTTTCAACAAAATAGTTCTTAGCAAAACGGCAAGAATATACTGATGCTCCTAATGAGAATATGTTAATTATGTTTTTTTTTCAATTCTCGACTGTATTATACGAAAATAATTTCGATTTACTAATTACTTTTATAGTTCATATAGATGTCGCTGATGAGAAGTGTATTAATTAGTTGCACGGAAGAAGGTTCTCGAAGTCTCTTTGACAGTATACCATCATGTCATTGGAAGAAAATCCAAATTAAGAAAGAATGAATAAAAATAAAAAAGTTTCAAGATACGCCACATGCCGAGTAATTTTTTAACATGAAGTCTCTCCTATTAAAAAAAGTGTCTCATGATGAGGTATACGATAGCCATATGCACTTCGTATTAATATGATATATCTCCGTATTAAAAACGGAGAAATACAAACGTTTACGGTAAAATATGGAGTAATGTCATACGCTAAAATACAACGACTAATGTTTATCTACAGATGTACTTGTTTGAGCTGAGATCTATATACTCGATTATTTACGTGGTAGGAACGTTTGCATAAGATGTGCTTACCTTCCGATGCTTCTTAGCCAATATTGTCTAGTCACTATTGTCCTCTCGTACTGATTATCAGAGTTAGGTCACCAGCAAGCAACTGTTGACAATTTCCACTTCTAAAATAATGACCGCTGAAAATTATATAAGGAGTTGCAGTGTTTTTTTAATTCTATCTTTTTAGCAAACATCTCTTTTTATTTACACCGTTGCAATAGTAGAAATAGGCACACCATGGCAAATTCCTCTTTCTAGGAAATTCAAATAAATTGACTCTGAGGAACTTTCCTGGAAATTCAAATCAAAAGTTTTCCAAATAACTACTGTCAATTAATTTGAATATTGAATGTTTACAACTGATTTCAATATCTATGCACTTGGAATGGGCGAGGAAATTCATTGTAACTTGCGAATGTCTATATTTATTCGGGCTGGGTTGGATGTAACCAACCCAACCCGCACTAACCCAACCGAAATAAATATAGATAGTCACTTGCAAGTTAAAATGAATTTCCTCATCCAACCCAGCTCAACCTAACTCCAATAGAGTATGTACACTTTCTGGATACACCATCTATCTGATAGCAATCATGAGTAGGAGCTGATACAAGTGTGTGGGTACCAGTCATTTTATTTTGTCATTAATTGTATCCTTTGCTTAAGTAGCTTTAAGCAGTTTAGAGGTAGAATAGAAAAAGCTACTCTTTCACTATGTGTTTGGTTTACTATGAGGCGATAAAATTTGAATTTCCTGGAAAGAGGAATTTGCCATGCCCTCGAAATAGGGCGTTGGTGTTCATTATGTTGAACTGAACGTCATATAACAAGAAAACAAATAATCTCTAGAAACTTTCGTTAGTACAGCTGAACAGTTACCCAAAACAAGTAGAATCCTACTGTAATAAGAAATTGCTAGAAATTTGCAATGTTTGTATTTCTTACAGATAAAATTTAGTTTATTAGGGATTATTAAAATTCATATGCGAAAAGTTCGTCGCAGAACACGACATAATTTAGATCTGTTTAAAACTATCTTTGTTCAGTTAAAAATAACTTGATCCAACTAGAATAAGTCGAAATTTTACAACAAGAGCGCTATGCAGTTGTAAACAAAGAATGCCATTCGTGGCGAAAACTAGTTTTCTTTATTGTTCTTGTTCAAAAATATATTGAGGGTGTGGATGTGGATGTTGGTGAGCGAGGGAAGGCTCTGGCTAGTGTAGGGTGGTTGCGAGTATGGGTGTGAGTGAGGGAAGGTTCTGGCTAGTGTAGGGGTGGTTGCGCGTATGAGTGTGAGTGAGTGTGAGTCTGGATAGGTTGTGGCTGAAGGTGGATGCGAGGAAGATGTACTTGTGGGTGTGTGGATGAATGTGGGTGGGCAGGTGTTGAGAGGGCGAACCTTTGGGATGTTCTGAAAAAAAATAAATGAGGTTTCCCGAACCTTGTAGATCTCTAAAAGATTCTGTGTTTTACCCGATAGAAGAACCTCTGAAAAAGCGTTCTGAGCAACAAAAAAGGTTTCGACAAGACTTTCAGAATTATTTTTTGCTCAGGATTCTTTTGAGAGGTTCTGTGAATCTCCTTTAGTTTTTTTAGAGTTGGTGTGTCTGTCGATGTGAAACATGCGTGGGTGTGAATGTGGATTTGAGGTAGGAGTCACAGCCATAGTGTTTCCCTAGGGTCGTAAAAACGGACAGGGGATATTTCTTCTGGTATAATGAGTGTGTGTCTGCTGGGTAAGCAGAAGATGCATGGATCGAGTTTCACGAAGGATGATCTTTTTCTTCGTTTCATTCGTATTACATCGCACTGCTTAGTCTCGGTCCCGAGTCATAGCATCAGGCTCTCACGATGGGTGCTTATGTGTCGATATGGCAGTGAGTTTGGGTACCAATGTGGCCTAAGAGGTCAATCACACACCCATATGCTGTTATGAGTGTGGGAGGGTGTGGGTGTGAGCTTGGGTGCCAATATGGCTTTAGAGATCAATCGTACGCCCATATCCTGTTATTATTTGTTTTATTTATTTTGCCCTTCTATTACTATGCCATATTTAGTTTTCCTCATATTCTTCCTTCGTAAATATTTGTTCTTCAAGTTATAATTTTAGTTGGGTATTTTTCTTTCCAGTCAATTCTGTTTCATATACCTAACAGGTATTTTCTCTTGTAGGACGTGGGTGTGATCAGCTGAATGTCTTCACTCAGGTCATACCGACACACATGCACAGATGACTTACGAAGGAAAATTCACGAAGTGTTCGATCCATTTTGTGTTGAGACCATGTGCATATCGTAAATGCAGATGAGCTATGAATACGTTGAAAAGAGTTTTGGCAGCTAGCTTATCACTTCGGAAATGCTACATTTATATAGGATGATTATTAAGTAAATACCATGACCTTACTCCGAAACGCGAAAAAAAAGTTGATATTCGAATTACGACTTGAAACTTACTATAGAAACAAGCCATGATGAGAATAGATTTTTCTGAATGTTTTCAGTCTTTTGATTTACTTCTATCCTGAAATGGAAGGATAGAATCTGTCGGTTCATTTAAGTGATACAAAAGATACGTGATTACCAAAATTGTATCTTCGGATAGGACAGTGAGACAAAATCTGAAACATTCACAAAAATCTATTTTCATCGAGAGTTCGTTGTATGTAAAGTTTCAAATCGAAATTCGAAAATCATTGTTTTGATAATCCTGATGGGGACGACGGTATTTGTTTATAAATACGGTAAAAGTGCAGTATCACTGAAGCAATAAGTTAGCTGCCCGGACTCTTTTCAGTGTATTCATAACTCATTAGGATCTACATATTACGCAGTCTCAGCGTGAAAGCAATTGAATAGGTGGTGACCTTTCCTTATTAGCCCCTTTTGAATATTTTGAATTAAAATTTTGATCTGTACTGATTTTAATTCTCTCCTGCGACTCACACTCACTCTCAAGAGATCCGCTAACCAAATATTTTCAATATAACCTACCAATCTTATTCTGAAACTTGTATATCGACAGTCAAAAAAAGCTTTTATTTTTGTATACAAATACTTCATTGACCATTGGAATAGTTAAATAATTTTGAGTAATGGTAAGATCATCTGTCAAAATGGGATCTGAGCCAAATAATCAAAATTGATGAAATATTCATTTTATTCTTTGTGATTTCTTCAGCTAAATTTTTATCGTCTTGGTACAGATTTCGCCTCTGATGAAGTTAGACTGCGAAATATTATCATTTGATTGAAATACTACAGCTATTCATTTTTTATTGACCCATCAGGTCTTTGCAGTCTCAACGTGTTCAATTTGTAAATAATAGAAAAGTTGTTATTCACTATATCTGTCTGTTTTTACTCACCCTCTCGATCGGTGACAGAAGTCTTTTCAGTCGACAGCTATCAGTAGTGTCAGAAAATTCAAAATCAATTAACAACTATTACGTAACAAAATATTTAGAAGCTTGAGAGAACTATCAAATTTCATTTTTCTTCAATTGCACCAGTTAGAGATGTCCATCGTTATGGCTTCTTTTTAACAATTATTGTAAAACTGTATGAAGTTGCGCGAAATTTCAGTATCCACAAAGGTAACATTGAGACTTGATGAGTCTCATGAATTAGTAATAGTTCTTTTTCAGTGCAGTAAGAGTCGTGAAATTTACAAACCTTTTTTGAAGACGTTTACAGAACAGTAACGGTAGGTTTTCAGCCATGATGGACATCTCTCACACCTCATGTAATGTAGATAAATACTCATAAAAGCTAAAATTACTAGAGTCAATAACGATTAAGATATATAACTGTAGCTAACGATATATCAATGATAGAATTTCCGACATTTGAACTATTCATTTGTAATTTTCACTAAAATAAATAATAAGCTATATGTACACTGTACCATAGAGCTGAATAACATACTATACAATGATATATATACAACTCATTAATCACTCTCCTCGGTCAATACATCAGCTACTCTTTATAATGAAATAAAAAAAATTCTCAGTATTTCATTAGTTATTCACTAGGCGAATAATACATATATCAGAACGAAGAAAACATAGATAATAATTCTTTGTATATCTCTACCAGTGGCGGATCTAGCCGTTCGGCGCTTTCGGCGTTTGATATTTCAAAGCGATTACGCCACGTAAAACTTACTGCGCAATTTAACCTTTCTCTAACCAACATAGAAGCCTCACAAATATAATTCCATTCGCGCTGACCTATACTTCTTACTGCTTCAGAAAAAAAGTAGCTCCCCTCACTCTGGCAAAATCCTAGATCCGCCACTGATCTCTACTCAAGTATGTCAATTATACAATCACTGACAGGTAAAGATCAATTTTTTGTTGTTGGTTTTCGATATCGACAAGCAAATAATAGTCAAGTAGCGTGGCGATGGGTGTAGATGCTAGTGTACTGATAATAATGAAGAGAGAACTAACATCTATCACCACATCTCGACACCTCGATGCTCAGTTGTCGTATCATCTATAAAAAAAACATCGTTGTTCACCTCTTTGAAAGAAAAAGGATACAATCACAATCGAATATTAAAGTGAATTTGATATTTTTGCTTGGGACTTACTTTAGAGCAGCTTTTTTAATTGAGTATGTTTGACCTGTCCAGTTATAGATATCGGCGAAAATTTGCTTTCAATAAATCTTAAAAAGACAACAAATGTCATTTGAAATTAATTGAAAAAAACAGAAAATGACATTTGATATAAAATTCTCGAATTCAAATGCTTGAATCCAATACATAGTCGATACATTCGTTCTCGCATATCATTAAAATGTTTGATTCAAGAATGAATCAACTTATCATTTAGTTCATATGGTTTGAGGCAAGAGACAAATGAATAGTAAAAATAATGCACACTCAACAAATAATAATCGTTCAAATAGTGAAAATTAAGAAATTTTTCTGTCGATCATATATCTTAAAAATGTAAAATAAAGCTGTTATGCTGACAGTATTTAATTAGAAAAAAAAAGTATTGCGAATGAAAAATTTCATAGGTCGAAACTTTCCGTCATTCTTTCACATGTTTTTCTTTGCTTTTGTTTATTTTACTCTGCACTCAACAATGGAAATATTACAGACAACGAAATTATTTTTCAATTTACCTTAAGTGTGAGTCATTATTGTGAAGAGTACAATTTCTCATACAAAGTATTCTTCCGTTCTTTTACAAAAAAAATGAATGTTGGAATTTTCTTTCAATATTGATTTAATGACATTGTAAAATAAATATTGAAATAATGCTGAGAAAAAAACCGTTATGTTGAGAATATTTTTAAGTAATATTAATAACCCAATGAAAAATTGATTTTCTATGGAGTTAGTTCTGATAAAGCGTTTGACCCATTAAAAGGTGCTCCTTGAATAAATGAAGCAGAAGGCATTTTAGAAGATCCTATGAAAGTTGGTTTTTTTGGTATCTATTTTCATAATAATATCTACGTTCAGTGATGACAATATTTTGCTTCCATTGTCATAGCAACGTGTTAGTTCTGAGTTAGAAAAATCTTGAAAAACAACTAATGGAAAGTAATAGTTCACTAAAAAGGCGTTGGTTTATTGAAAACATATTATGAAATCACTTCAGTGCTCATTTGCAGAATTATCTGAACAGAGAATTCTTTAAGCTCTCTATACGAAAAAGCATTCCCATGGTCAAAGAATCTAATTGACGCAGTGCATATTCGTATGAATCACGCATAACAAGATCTTTCTAAAATTTGGGATATATTCCGTAAAACCTTCTTGTATATTAATTGAAAGTTCTCTTCATCTTAACATTTTCTACTTGTAACTTGAAAGTTTTTTTTTATCACGAAAGGGTGTGGTGTGAGGTGTGAGTGTGGGTGTGGGTGTGGATGTGGATGTGGGTGTAGATTTGGGTGTGGGTTGACGGAATACACAACCTACACCTATACCCACACCCCACCCACGCCCACACCATACCCACACCCTACCCCACACCCACCCACACCCACACCCCACATCCACAATAGTAGACAGTAAATTTTCAAGTATATTCTTCCCGGTTTGTTCTATGAAGTGTTTCTTTTAAGCCTGAGAGCATATTTTTTTCGCAAACAAAATTTAACGACATGTTTCCACAATCATTTAAAAAACAAGTACTGAAGGCGTATTCAATAAGTGTTTTTCGTTAAACTGTTTCTTTACAGACCATCATACTCATTGAAGTTAGCTTAAGACTATTAACTATGCTAGTGATGCATTTTCTTGTGAGCAAATTCCATTTGCACTATTCGAGCTTCAACATAACCTATCAATCGTAATAAGTTTGACAAAAAAAATTCATTTTCAATTATTTAGCTATTGAGAAAGTTAAATTGTATTGTTATAAGAGTATTCTTCATACCAACGAATGTCTCTCCTTTTCTTCACAAGATATCTGTTTATTTCTTAATCTACGCTTGTGAGTCTGAGTTTGAGCGTGAGTGTAGGAGAGAGTGAGAGCGATGCTCCTATTCTACCTACACTCACACCTCCACATTCTTCGTATGCGCAATAATTTCAACATCATGGAAATTTTGGTAAAATTAATTTTCATGTTACAAAGCTAATAAGTTTTCATACAATGTAAGTTTATCTTCCTCAGCTAGGGAATCTTCCGAAAGAATGATCAAAAAAAATAATAACCTAATCTTTTCCTTGCTACAAAAGAAGTTATGCCAGCTTAAAGCCCACTTCAAGGACTATATCTTGAAATTTAGTTTTTCTTAAAAAGTCAACTTTTCTAAGGAGACGATAGCTTAATATCATTTTTTAAGTTCGCATAAGAACAAATGAAGTGAAAAATATAACAAACAGAAACTTTTCCACTTTATTTCTCATCTTCTAATGCAGTGAGATATCCTTTATACAATCGTTTAGTTTCAGAAGATTTCATTGTAACTAATTGTTTTGGTTTATGTAATTCTTCCAATGTAGGCAATGTTGATAGTTTTGGAATTTCGGTTATCATAGGTTCTTGAATCACGGAAGTAGTTGATGATTTATTAGTACCTATGATTGAAGGTCTTTGTTTTTTTTTTAATTTATTTTTAAGTAATGTTAAATATAATAATCGATCTTGGCAAATAAATAGCCATGTAAGTAACATAAGAAGAACACCTAAACCAAGATCCAGTGAAATTAAAATTAATTCAATTTTTAATTCATGACTAATTAGTGGTAAACAAAGACCTTGAGGTGAATATTTTATCTTAAATGTATGTTCAAATAACATAATTTGGTCGTGTTTTAAGTGTAAATCTGGACAAAAATATGAAAAAAATGTTTGTCGAAACCATTGATATTCTTTAATATTTGATTTAGAATATTTTGAATTTAATCCACAACATTGTTTTAATAATATTATTTTCCATACTGGATGTTGAGGTTCTTCAAGAAAATTTATCTGATAATCATAAATAATATATAATCACATTTCTTGTTTTTGTTTTCATCAAAAACAAAACAAATCTAACCTGTCGATTAATAGCATCAGAAAAAAACGTTCGCTTCTTCTCGAATTCAGTTACTGTTCTATATATTATTGAAACAAATAAATGCAGATTACGTATAGTTATGAGTATTGTAACAAAGATGAGCATTATATATAACCAAAGTCGTTGTTTTTTCGTACGAAATGCAAAGAGAATTGCAAGTAAATTAAGAAAAAGTATTGTATCAATAATAATTACTGATATAAGATAGTGACTCATATTTTTGTAAATAAAAAATAAGAAAATAAAAATACTGGGCAAGAAAAAACTATAAGCTATGTATGAATAGAATAAACAAAATCGAAGATCATACATAATAAATGGAGATAAATATCCGTGCTCATCAATAAAGAAGAAAAAAATTTCTATTGAACAATTAAATGGCGCTTTGAATATTTGGTTTTTTTCTGTAACTCTTCTATGGAATATTTTTTTAAATATATCCTTATTTCATTTGAAATTCTTGTTTTTTTGAATCAATTAATTAAATAAATGCAGAAATAGTTTTTCAATCGATTAGAAACATGTTTACACAATAGGATTGAAACGAAATTGTTTTCTTCGAAAAATTCACTACTTAGAAAAAGTGAATTTCTGTAGTATGAAGACTATCATTTAAGTTTTCAGTAGAACAAAATAAAGCGATCAGCAAGTAAAATAATTATAAAATCAATAATTTATTTTCTACTATTGTATTCAAATTAACATCAACATTCTGTATGAAGAGATTCGAACATTATGAACAAGCAAAAAAAACAAACAATATTAGGTCTTTGAATTATTTTGATAATGAATAGCGCCAATCAAATGATAGTTGATATGAAACTATGTCACACTTTTGTTATCACTACCAACGGTATACGACGATACTCGTAAGAACCGATGGTAGCGCTTACAATTTTAAGTTCCATCTATTAATGATTGCAGAGGATATTTTCTACCCAAAGTCAAATTATTTATTAAAAAGAGTTCAAGTTAACACAGAAGAAAACAGTATCAAAATATATTTTAACTAATAGACAAGTTTAAATCATAACCAACACTATTTTAATCTAAGACACTCCCAAAATATTCGATGGTTTTGATACAGTATACTGTAGTACAACACCTTCAAAAAAAATGACGGTATAGTGTATATTATATCAATCCAGTGTTTTATCCAGACGGGTGCCCGGGGGGGCCGCGCCCCCCCGAAAATCGAGTTCGCCCCCCCGAAACTTGCGATCATCGTACTAAAAACACGTGGCTTGCTCTCCCGAAAATAATTTTTCGCCCCCCCGAAATTCCAAATCGCCCCTCCGGAGAAAAAATCCTGGATAAAACACTGTATCAATCAGAATACCGACGGTAGTATTTCGATAGTTATCACATGAGAAAGTATAAAACTCTATGTACCAAGTACAAACAATGCCTTAGAGACAAGTGATAAAATAATCAAAGATGATGAAATGTTTAGAAAACGCCATGTATTATCAAGGTTTTTAGACAATAACTTCCAATATTGTCAATAATTGGCAAATAGAACAAGATTCGTGCTCAATAAACGCAAAAAGTATTTGCTACAGAACCAACAATGTCTTTAGAATTATGGATTTGATCGTATTAATCGACTAAATTAACAAAAGATGTAATTCGTACTTCGAATAATTCTTCAAAAACATATTATATATCATCTCATGATTTACAATCGGTTACACAAGTCAATTTAAATTGATAGTAAAATAAGAAGTGAACAACTTTTAATCATTTTAAAACATCATTTGATTTTTGATGCATGGTAATAGAGAATGATTCAGCTGGGAAAAACTCAAAAATGTAACTGTCTAGCTATTTTTAAGAATTATACATGCAAACATGGTATTGATATGGTTGTTTGTTTGAAATATTGCAAGTTATTACCAGCAGCAAAAATAATGGCGATCGGTGAAGAAAAGAAAAAGAGATAGATGAGCGAAAGCTAAAACTGCTGTGCTATAGTCTGAACAACTAAAAGTACGGCTTAAAATTTGATTTTTTTTCTAAAAGTTTTTAATTTCAGGATGATGTGTTCTTGTGTTTTTTATATAGTATAGACTGGTACGAATGCGTCATATATTAATCATTATAATGCTCTAGTGGTCCTCTATCTATACTGTATATCTTAGGCTTTTATCGTTTGGTATTTGTGAATATATAATTTCAAGTGTAGTCATTTTCACATACAATTACAAGTTTGATTTTCATTTGTACGTTCAATATTTGTTTAACATATTTATGATATGGTACGTATACAGGACACCATGTACTAACATATTCCGGGATAGCTTGTTATATTATGCTTCCTTTCTTGTATTATGACAGATAGAGTTCACTTGTTGGTATAGAAGCCACAGTCACTATACCAACAAGTGAACTCTATACACACATACCAAACGATAAAAGCCTAAGATATACACTATAGATAGAGGACCACTAGAGCATTATAATGATTAATATATGACCCATTCATATCAGTCTATACTATATAAAAAACACGAGAACACATCATCATGAAATTAAAAAAATTTTCAAAAAAAATCAAATTTTAAGACGTACTTTTAATTGTTGGGACTATAGTACAAAAGTTGAATTTTTCATGTTCTTTTGTTTTCATTCATTCTTTGAATATCTATTTCATGTCTCTTTTGGATTTCTTCTTATTTATACTCTAGTTTAAGTTTATTTTTCTTGTACTAAATTAATCTTTATAAGAATAGAACTTATTTCCTTCTACTAATAAAATTTGCATTTTTACTAATAATATAAAAATCTGACCAGTTTATTTCTTTTACTGAGTAAAAATTATGTTTCTTTATACAAATTCATTTTAGTGCATTGAAATTGTATCATTTCATAAAAATAATTCAAAAGAAAAATAGTTACATGCGAGTCTGGGTAACTATAGTCTAGTTTATCTAACTTTAGTCAGATATAAGACAAAATGTACTGTTCTGATTAGTTATAGTACATATCAGGGCTCCGCTTGAGATGGAACGAGAAAATTTGTTCACATTCTTCGTCGTTGTTTTTGATGGAGATGCTGAAAATTCGTATCAAGATGAATTACTCTTTGAATTCTTGATAGTCGTATTATGTGATGAGTCTTGTCTCACTAAGCGTGTTATTCGTTCGGTTGTATATTCATGAACACCTATGCAAAAGTAGAAATACAAGATGCGGAAGATGAAATTATAAAAGACGAAACTGTAGTCGAACTTGCTAAATCACATCAATAAAATTGGTTGTCAATCAGTGTCTGGTAATTTCAGAAAAGACTGCGATCGAACACCGACGCTCCAGTCGTTTTTTCGAGTTTCTTTTAACCGAAGCCGCTGAAATCGAAACATTTTAATGACTGCTGATATTATCTACATGTCATTATTTTTCTATGGTTTATACATAAACGAAATCTTCATCCATTCATTACATTGAATCTTGCTTCTAACTAAAGATGCTAAATAAATAGCTTACATACTTATACTTGAACTAACAAGTGAGCATTTGTTTATCATTTTCGTACTCTTTTGTTCGAGATTTGGTGTGCTGAAATTATCAGTTTGTGAAAACTCATTGTGAACAGTTTCGCATGGTATTCAAGAATAATACATTGTGACAAAAATAGTAGTAATTAAGAAGTTAAAAAAATTGTCAATAATATCAAGTTCTAGTATGAGAATCATCAAGAAAGATATAAAAAACGATTATATCAACTTTGTTTTTGAGTACTTTTATCTAATAAGAAGTTTCATATAAATATTTCATATTGAAATAATTTTTTCATCTACAATTTCAATCAAGTGCTTTTTTTAATTAAGAATATGAATAATTGCGAAAAAAGAAACGTCGAAATTTCAAAAAAAAGACTAAAATCAATTTCTTGTCGTTCAATATCAGATGAACGGTTTCGATTCCAATGTTTAAGAGCCGAAATTAGAGCTGCTTTTTTTCTGTTTTACTAATCGGAACTATGGTTTCGGTTTCCGAGTACCTTTTGGAATCGCTGACCTATACTGTCAACAATATAGGACGAATGAGTTAGAGATATTTTATCAGCAATCAACACGAACCAAATCAAATCACTGGCTACTATTACAATACATAGAGCTTCATCCTATTTTTTTCTTAATCAATTGGTGCGTCATCATTGTCGGTTGAATTGCATCATAATTATTGTAATTCTTGACCATCTTTAGAAGTTTTGTTTCTCACTTATTTTTGTCGAAAAGATAAGTACAAGATCTATGTCAACGCGATTGTATTGTTTTTAGCAACAGAATAGTTTTGCATAATATTTATTGATCCCATGAGACGATGGAATGGGACAACCTTCAAAAAAATTTCCATCCCATCCCAACCCATCCCATGAGGCATGGGACATTTTGAAATAATGGCGTCCCATAGAACGTATGGAATGGGACTGTCCCATTCCACGCGAAGCCCTAGCAGATATACAATGTCAATGATCTCCTGTTGTTCGAGCTTTATGTTTGATAAAGAATGAAAGTTGTCAAGTGTTTTCTTATAATCGTCTTATTAACAGAATTTTGCATCTAATATGTTAATAAACACTAACGCTTAGTTGATGTTTTTCTTTGCACAGAATCTCGATTTTCGTCAATTTATAACGTGTATGTTTAGCACGAAACTAAGCCCAAGATTATTATGAAGTTCACACCTATAGTTAAATGTTCTCGAGTGGAACAAGTTCCTGATCAACAACTATTTCAAAGTTTATAAATCAATACACATCTATGCTTGCTCATATATATATATATACTGCACATATTTACATACACATATCACTGTCTATGAAACAAACGGGGTAGACAATATTTATATAAACAAATTTTATAAAGATTCTTTTTTGCAATATGATTAAAGAGCAAGTCTAATGATTTTCTTCCATAGCAAGATAGAGTTCAAACAACAATAGATCATTAGGATTGTATACATATTCTAACAAATAAAAGCAACTCATATTTTACTGATATCTGGTCAACACTACATAAACAAATGGAAGTATATGGTGTCAGACTCGATGAACATACACATTTATTGTTTCTTTTATCAACAAATATTTATTAAGCATTAAGAATAATATAAATAAATGTAAACTATCTGCATAATATGCTTGTCATTTTCTGATGGAATCAATTAATGAAAAAAAAATTATGCTTTTCTGTCGTTTTCATATTTATAAG